ATGTAAACTATTGTGGTTACAACAAATTAATGCCCGTTGAAGATTAACCACCTTTATTGCTTTTGAAGTCATCTCTGAGGGCTATCTTGTAAATCGCTTTGTGTTATACGGCGTACACATAAAGGACCCCACCCCCCCGCAGCTAAGGTCAACGCTATCAGCCGCACCAAAACAAAGGTAAAGTTTGTCGAACAAACGCGCACCGCCGCGCACTGACCGGACGTGAGGTTTAGGTTTAGGGCTCTCGAACTTCTAACTATTGCCCCTGTCATTTCAGGATTTGCTAACGACCCTAAACCATCATATCATCATAGAAGCCGGTAGGTTTGAGGCTTTACAAAAGCCAAAGTATTAGCGAATTGTTGTATAGTGGATGTACGTAAGCCCGCCTCCCTGCTGGGTGCTGGCTCCCCACTTCTCGTTTCGCCTCTACCTCTCACCTGCTCCGCCACCGTACCCTACCGCGCCTTACAGGGATGTCCGATGCAGACAAAGGCCAATACGAAAAATAAAAATTTAAGTCGAAAGGACTGCCTGCGGTTTTTTTTCATATGAAATAGTAGTAGGTTCCCCAATCAAAAGTAATAATTCATTTTTCTTCAAAAACCTGCCTGTGATTATTAAATGTCAAAAAAATACAAGTTAGACTTACAAAGAACAGTTTTTTTTGTAGAATAACTAAGACTGAAAAGATGTAGGTGAGTGTTCCAAATGAGTAGAATGAACTCTTTTTTCTAATAATTAAAATTGGGAAACATCTTCCACAGGATAAATAAAGTTTTCGCAGGTATAGTACATGAAATTACTTAGGTTTATTTACGTCGTAACATACTGATGTATTCAGTTCATCCTTGTGAGGCAAAATACCCTAAATGGCCGCCGAAAAGAAGACGAAAAAATACTGTAACAAGAAATGTTTCACATCCTTAAAAACTTAACTTTAATCCTAACTAAAGATTGATCGAGATACAGTTACACTCGAATGCTGAGATTGAGTTACGTCTTAACAGTATACAATCGATTGGTTCATTCGGTGTAAATAAATAATAAAATTCACACAAAAATAGATACAAGATAATTTTTTATTGTTATGTATTTAAGTTATAAAAGCTTTCAAACATAATTAGTTATCGAAGGTCCAATACACTTTCGGAAGCTGAGGTCTAGTTCCGTCGTAAACACTAATGTGTATCCTGTGTGAACAAAAAAATACCTATATCACATAAAAAGATAAAATATTATATATATTTCAATAAGTTTACTTTTAATTCGTCAAA